AAAGGAATCATTTATGGTGTACGGGGACAAACGCAGAGTAACTTCTGGAATCATCTCCCTGATGAAAGCCAGGAAATGTTTGTCCAAAGGATGTGCATCATACTTGGCATTCGTAATCGATGCTAAGAAAGAAAAGAAAGAGGTGCAGAATATACCGGTTGTGTGCGATTATCCGGAAGTCTTTCCCGAAGATCTTCCCGGATTACCACCTGATAGACAAGTGGAGTTTCGTATAGACTTGTTACCAGGAACAACACCGATAGCAAAGCCACCTTACCGATTAGCACCGACGGAGATGAAGGAGCTCATGACACAACTTCAGGAGTTGTTGGACAGCGGATTCATTCGACCTAGTTCATCACCCTGGGGAGCTCCGGTGTTATTCGTGAAGAAGAAGGACGGAAGCATGAGGATGTGCATAGACTACCGAGAGCTGAATAAGGCAACGGTGAAGAACAAGTATCCATTGCCGAGGATTGATGACCTATTCGATCAGCTGCAAGGTTCGAGCTACTTCTCAAAGATCGATCTTAGGTCAGGATATCATCAGCTGAAGGTGAGAGAGCAGGATATTGAGAAGACTGCATTCAGAACAAGATATGGACACTACGAGTTCTTGGTTATGTCATTCGGACTAACCAATGCTCCCGCAGCATTCATGGATTTGATGAATAGGGTTTGTAAACCATTCCTCGATAAATTTGTGATAGTGTTCATCGACGACATTCTCATCTACTCGAAAAGCCAGGAGGAGCATGGCAAGCATCTACGAGAAGTGTTGGAGGTGTTAAAGAAGGAGAAGCTTTTTGCAAAGTTCTCGAAATGCGACTTTTGGATACGGGAAGTCCAATTCTTGGGTCATGTTGTTAACCAAGAAGGAATAATGGTTGACCCCTCCAAGATCGAGGCTGTAATGAAGTGGGAACGTCCGAAGAGTCCCACGGAGGTTCGAAGCTTTCTAGGATTAGCCAAATATTACCGACGATTTATCCAAGGCTTTTCTTCGATAGCTGCTCCATTAACAGCTTTGACCCATAATGGAGCTATGTATACATGGAGTGAGAAACACGATGAGGCGTTCGAGAAGCTAAAGAAGAAGTTATGTGAAGCACCGATACTTTCTCTACCCGATGGAGTTGAAGATTTCGCGGTTTATAGTGATGCATCTGGAGTCGGGTTGGGTTGTGTTCTGACCCAAAGAGAAAAGGTGATAACATACGCATCTCGACAATTGAAAGAGCACGAAAAGAACTGCCCCACTCATGATCTGGAGTTGGCAGCGGTAGTATTTGCCTTAAAGATATGGAGGCATTACCTCTATGGCACGAAGTACAAGCTCTTCACTGATCATAAGAGTCTCCAATATCTCTTTAATCAGAAGGAGTTGAACATGAGGCAACGACGCTGGCTAGAGCTTCTCAAGGACTACGACTGTGAGATACTTTACCACCCAGGTAAAGCAAATATTGTTGCTGATGCTCTCAGTCGGAAAGTCAATCTTGAAAGAAAAAGGTCAAGAGCGTTAAGAATTGAAGTCGTCTCGACGATTGTGGAAAGTATCAGGAAAGCTCAAGAAGAAGCCTTAGAAAAGAATGACCGAAAGGAAGAACGTTTGGGAAAAACGTTAGTGTTCGGTACAAACAGTCGAGGACTGAAGGTATTCCAAGATCGAATCTGGGTACCTAAGACGGGAGGAATAAGAGATCTTCTAATGGAAGAAGCACACACGACCATGTACTCGATTCATCCCGATAGCACTAAAATGTATAGGGACCTAAAACCCTACTACTGGTGGCCGACGATGAAGCTCGATGTTGCGAAGTATGTGGCCGAGTGCGTAACATGCGCGAGGGTTAAGGCACAACATCAGAAACCGTATGGGAGTTTAGAACCTTTACCTGTATCCATGGGTAAATGGGAAGACATCACCATGGATTTTGTGACTAAACTGCCCAGAACGAAGAACGGACACGACATGATTTGGGTAGTCGTGGATCGTTTCACCAAGAGTGCACACTTCATAGCCGCCAGTGAGAAGTGGTCTATGGATAAGCTCGCAAACGCTTACGTGAAGGAAATTGTAAGACTTCACGGTGTCCCTCTTACGATTGTGTCAGATTGTGATAGTCATTTCACGTCAAGGTTTTGGAGGAGTCTACAAGAGGAGTTGGGTACAAAGTTGTGTTTGAGTACTGCTTACCATCCGCAAACTGATGGTCAGAGTGAAAGAACGATTCAGACGTTGGAAGATATGCTGAGAGCATGTACCCTCGAATTCCAAGGGAATTGGGACGAGCACTTACCTCTAGTAGAATTTTCCTACAACAATAGTTTTCACTCGAGCATCAAGATGGCACCTTATCAGGCCTTGTACGGACAGAAGTGTCGTACGCCGTCTTGTTGGCTTGAAACCGGAGAGAAGCAGTTTATGGGCCCCGAGATAGTCCATGAGACTGCTGAGAAATTGAAGGTGATTAGGGAAAGAATGTTAGCAGCTCAGGATCGTCAAAAGAGTTATGCTGACAAGAAAAGACGACCGATAACCTTCGAAGTTGGGGATTCCGTTTTACTTAAAGTCTCACCGTGGAAGGGACTTATACGATTTGGGAAACGAGGAAAGTTGAGTCCAAGGTTTATTGGACCGTTCAAAGTTCTTCAGAGGATTGGGAACCAAGCTTACAAGCTGGAATTGCCCGAAGAACTCAATGGTATTCATAACACCTTCCATGTGTGTTATTTGAGGAAATTCATGGGAGATGTTCCCGACATAATTCCAATCTCGGAATTAAGGATGGATGAGAATAAAAGGTTTTATCGAAGAGCCTGAGGCAATTATTGACCATAAGACTAAAAAGTTACAACGCAAGATGGTCGGCTTGGTGCTAGTCTGATGGAAACATTCGAATGGGCCGAATCTCACTTGGGAAACAGAGGATGACATGATGAGTCGCTATCCACATCTGTTTGCTGATGCATGATTCCGGGACGAAATCATCCTAAGGGGGAGAGAATTGTAACGCCCGGGTTTTCAGGGCTAAGCATTTTTGTCAATGTAATAGTCTAGGTCAACTATTGTAACTCTTTTTGAAGTAATAAATATGAAATATTTGAGTATTATGTGAATTATGTGTGTTTATGTGTTTATTATTTAATTATAAATGTATAATTAATAAAGAATAAAAATGAGCGTCAAAATTAAAGTGTGAGATAATCCCGATATCTCTACATAAAGTTGTAGAATATGTCTCAAGGTTTCCGTACATATAAAGAATGCCGAAATCCGAGCTATAACGAAGAAGTTATGGCCCGCCGAAGTTTTACGGCAAAACCGGCACGGCACCGGGAGACGTAAATAGTGAATTTACGATAGAAAACTTTTTAGCCTTAGCAATCTAAACAAAAGTCGTAGAATATTTTAAACTAAGAACATCGATAAAAAGAACGCCCAAATCTGACTTCGTATGAAGAAGTTATGATTTTTCTAAGATTCGGCTTAGCACGAGGCGGAAGCCCCGGAGTGCTCGAAGGCTCTAAGAAGAGGAGCTTTTCGGCTCGGGAACGCTGCTCCAAGCAAAGCCCGGTTTTCTATAAAACCCGCGGTAAGTGAGCTACGCATACGCTATTTTTAATATAGCTTTTATTTAATTATAGTAACGTTATTAGGAACTTATAATAAATACTTGGGCTATTATTATGGGTTATATAAGTATTTTTTTGACGCTTATATAATAATAATAGTTAGACTATTAATTAGTCGACGAATAATAAACTAAACTCTAGTGGTAATAATACTAAGTTTCGTCGAAGAAAATTCTTTTTAAGAAGCGAAGCGCTGTCTGAGTTCGGAATCACCACCTTTTCAGGTGAGTGCATAGTTACTTTCAACTTACACATAGATATGAAGTATTTAATATAAATTACGTGCTATGTGTGCATATTATCTGAATACTTGCTATCTATGCTGGATGAACTTTTTATACATGTTTTCAAAGATTTAAACTGTATATGTATTTTATATCTACAAAATGTGTTGGGTAAAACATGGGTAGATGTAATAGTTGCTGTGTGACAAAATAAAATAATGAGAGGCCTCGTTATAGATGTTATTGATGATCCAGCCATCTAGTGGGGTATATATGACAACCACGGACTATTCTAGACAGTCCAGTGGAACACTAGCAGGCTCGCAACCTGTAGGTGTTTATTTGAACTGTGTGCTCACCAGATGTACTCCATCCCCCACATGGTTGCCTATTAGGACATTTATTGCTGAGGAATCCCCTAGCAGTAGCGTCCGTCCCGATGATGATCCTTAGGCTAGGTCCCTTATGATAGGTGTTTAGGGACGTAAAGTGAGGATAACGGGAACGGGTAATCGGGTTATTGTTGATTGATGAAATTAATAAACTTATTTATTGTGGGTTGAAAACCCTATGTGCTCACCAGGCTCCCAAGTCTGACCCACTCAGTTTTTATGTATTACAGGTAGTGGCGCATGAGCATAGGTGTGATGTTTTGGACGAGGGATTACGGATATAGGCCTGTAGATATTAAATAATGTAGTAAGGCTTATAGTGTACTGTTTATACTTTTGATCTGTACGAACATGACATCCCGAGTCTTTTAATGAAACACATTTCTATGGAAATGCTTTTGATAAATCTTTATCATATTATTGTTTTGGGACAAATTCCGCAACCCTTTTATTAAAAGATAACTCTGATTTTGAAATAAGGTATATAAACAAAACCGGTCTTTTCTGGCAGTGATTTTGGGGATGTCACACAATAGCTTATCATATGGAGTTTTAACCCATAAATTACTTCCATTTAAAGGAACAATGGAAGTGCTATAAGCCAAGTGATACTTTTCCTTCTTGAACCAATCACTTACATAGTCAAGGAGATTTTGGTGGGTATGGTTTATAGCCGCGCATGCATGTACACATGGAAGTCCAGACAAAACCCATAGCCTGCATGTGCATGTCCAACTTGCCAAGTCTACCATATATCCTTCATAACCATTTCTAACCTCCAATAGAGGCCACTAGGGATAACCATCCAATTCCTATCGAATATAAAAAGTTAGTATAATATTTTTACATTTTATTACGGAACAATCCAGTTTGTAAAGGGGAAGCAATCCATACCTCATGTTTTTGTGCCATTTTTTCATCTTTATAAGTATCTTTGGAGCAACAACAGTTTTCCATGAATTTGTACTCCTTTTCATTGCATCAAACCTCTCCATCACATGAAGTCTAATCTCTTCTAACATGGTTATCAACGGTTTCCCCCTAGCACCAACGATTGCAGAGTTAAATGACTCAGATACTCCATTTTCTACAGCCTCGCATGCCCTATCTGTTGCAAAATAGGCCCTACACCATGTTTTAGGATTTCTTTTCACGAGATCATCATATGCATCATTGTTCAACTCTTTCATCTTTTCCATATTGTTTTTGAACTGTTGATCTGTTGTGGACATTGCAACTTCCCAAAACAAGGTTTTATAAATCTCTCCACTGAAACGTTTGTAGACATTGGCACAAATATGACGGGCACATTGCCGGTGCTTAGCATGTGGCATCACCTCCTTCACGGCTTCTAGTAGACCCTGTATTTATATACAATATAAGTAGGGGTTGTTTTGATATAATAGGGGCTCTTTTGCCATAAGTAGGGGCTGTTTTAACTCCATAGGGGCTGTATTAATATAGGGTTTGTTTTGTCATTTATAATATGTCAAAATTTGCTAAAAAGTGTCCAAAAATGTCCATAGGGGCTGTTATAACATAGGTGCTGTTTTTTCATTTATAATATGTCAAAATTTGCTAAAAAGTGTCCAAAATATCTATAGGGGCTGTTATAACACAAGGGCTGTTTTGTCATTTATAATATGTCAAAATTTGCTAAAAAGTGTCCAAAAATGTCCATAGGGGCTGTTATAACATAGGGGCTGTTTTGTCATTTATAATATGTCAAAATTTGCTAAAAAGTGTCCAAAAATGTCCAGAGGGGTTGTTTTAACATAGGGGCTGTTTTGTCATTTATAATATGTCAAAATTTGCTAAAAAGTGTCCAAAAATGTCTATAAGGGCTGTTATAACATAAGGGTTGTTTTGTCATTTATAATATGTCAAAATTTGCTAAAACGTGTCCAAAAATGTCCAGAGGGGCTGTTTTAACATAGGGGCTGTTTTGTCATTTATAATATGTCAAAATTTGCTAAAAAGTGTCCAAAAATGTCTATAGAGGCTGTTATAACATAAGGGCTGTTTTGTCATTTATAATATGTCAAAATTTGCTAAAAAGTACAAAATTACCTTATGTTGATCTGATATTAAAGTAACCCCGTTTTCTTCAACTGTTTCAATATCTGATTGTAGTAACTCAATGAGCCACTTCCAATTATCTTTATTTTCTACATTCACAACCGCCCATGCAATGGGGTAAATTTGGTTGTTTCTGTCTCGACCAATGGCAACTATCAACTCCCCTTTAACTTTCCCTTTCAAGAAACATCCATCTAAATCAATCACCTTACGACAACCTTTCAACCATCCTTCTTTTAAAGCCTTCAAACAAATGTAGATTCTTTTGAAATATTTTGCATCCGGATTGACATCGACTCCAATTTCAACAGTGCTTCTTGGGTTTGATCTCAAAACTTCATCACCATAATCCCATATCCTAGCATAGTGATCAGTCAACTTGCCATCAATTAGTGTAAATGCTAATGCCCTTGTCCTTTCACACTGACCTCTGCTAAGCTTTAAAGAATAATTCTGTAAAAAATCAGCTTTCATTTCTTTGAATTTCATTTTGGGGTTGCGAATTAGGTCATTAAGATAATGGTTAGCAATCCAACTCGGAGTTATCAATGAACCGAGGCTGTATTTTCGTGCACAAACATGTTTCTTTTCCAAAGATTTCACTTGCCAAGTTAGTTCATTCCCCATCCAAGATGCCCAACATCTAAATGGAAACTTATTCTCGTCACTTTTTTTTCCGCATCGTACTAATATCCTAGAACGATCACACTTGGTAAACCTCAATTGGTATCCATTAGCCACCGCATAATTTGTTAGACAAAGCTTGAACTGTTCTGGGCTTTCGTATTTTTCCCCCAAGTGTGGTTCCATTTTTTTCCAAGGTATCCTAGGGTTGTGTACAAGATATTGGTCCCCAAATATCTGACCTATATTATCTCCTTTGTCAGTTTCTTCATTTGAAAAGGTCCATTCAGCATCATCAGATGATATGCCAGACCATTCCACTTCTCTCTGTACCAAATCATTCAAAAAAGGATCCCATATTGTCTTGTCCATTGTAGAAGCAACATATTCTTCTCCATCAGACTCATCATCTGTTACATTCAAATCCTCCATATAAACTTCAACTTCCACATTTGAAGTTAAAGTCATAGCTGTTGGAAATCAGCCTCTTAAGACCCAGTAACACACGCCTGAACACCTATCAAAACAGCAATTTGTATTAACACCAGTATATTACTTTCAAATGGGAAACTTCTTATGTTATTTCTTCTCATCTAAAACCTACAATTACATCGAATATAAACGTAAGAGGTTAGAAAGATGTAGCCCTATGTATGTTTGGGTTTGTTCACAGGGATGTTCCAACAATAGCTATTGGTTAAGATTCCTTAAAGAATCAATGCAGACAAAAACAAAGTAAATAAAACATGCTATTTATGGAGTTAAAGTCATAGTGAACGAGATTTTTAAGTCACAGTGAGTCAATGCAGACAAAAAAAAAGTAAGATTCCTTAAAGAATCAATGCAGACATTTGAAGTTAAAGTCAAAGTGAATGAGAATTTCAAGTCGATTACCTTTTTTTTCTTGTGATTAACCACTAATTTTACGGATGATTCCACGAAGCTTTCCCTCGACAAGCCTTTTTTTTACAGAATGATCGATTGGAGGTGAAAAAAGGGGTTGATGTATTGGGGTCGTATGCCACGTACACTAAAAAGAATGGGAAACCTAGGTTTACCGACTAAAATAGATATATTACACGGTTTGGGAAATAATAGTGGTTAAATCGAACAAAGAAATAATATAATGGTTTTTTTAAGCATTGACCTATATTATATAGGTTTTTTCTGGGATTTTCCCAAAAATCATTAGCCATATAACTTTTCCTTTATATCCTTTTTCTCTTGTTGACATAAATGTTTTTAAAAAGTATTTAAGAAAAACATGAGATATTTGAAAAAAAAATGAAGATAATTAAATAAGAACAAGTTTATAAAAGGTTATGAATTTAATTAAGAGTGTTTCTTGATTTCTTCGTAAAGTCGTTATTCCAACGTTAAATCAAAACACATGTCCAGATATAACATATTAAAAAGTCGCTATTCCAACGTTAAATCAAAAGACATGTCCATATATAACATATTAAATTAAGTACTTTAGTATTTGTTGTTTACCAAGGAAAAAAAGTAGTTTATTGTCATTCCTTAATACCATTATAACATCTTAATTTTTTTCAAACTTTTTAAAATGCTATGGTTGTAAAAATCATTGCGGGTGTTAAGTCACATTTGATAAAAACCAGTCTTACAAAAACATTTATAATTAAAATCATGGTTGTTACTGTTGAGCATCGTACAACCATAACAAACAAATACGAATTACATCAATACATGGAACTTAAAAAAGTTGCACTCCATTCTCTATCACATTACTTCTAACTTCCATTTATCATCTTTCTCCTTGGATATAACATGAAATACTGTAACATTCAAGTTTTTGGTAAGTTTCTCTTTTAGTCCTTAATGCTAATTTGTTATCAATTTGGGTCCCTTGCTAGTATGTGGGGTGTACTCTATGAGTACACTTAGCGTACTAGCCTTCTGATGGTCACGGATTCCACCCACGGACGCGGGGCGTAGGTGGAGTACGCATGGCATACGTTGGGCTGGGACAAACCCTAATTCTTAGGGTTTATGCCCTATTTAAACAACTTAAGCTCATCTCTTGGACATTTTAGAGCAGCCTCCACCTCCCCTTGCCCTGAAATCGAAACCCTAGAGTGATTTGGTGAGTTTTGAGCTTGAAAGAGTTTTTGTGGTGGTTTGTGAAGGAGAAGAAGAAGAGGAACACTTATAGGAATTCCTTGAGCTTGTAGATCCAGGGTTAGCTTCTCATTTGCAAGCTTTTTGAGGTAAAAAGCTTACACCTTGATGATCACATATTGTAACACCCCGTCCCTAGTACGTATTTCGAATGAATATTTTTATTTTATTTTAGAAGCTACTCGACTAGTCAGTAGCCCTAACTCGTCGAGTAGATGTGGGTTAGCATGTGGGTTTAGCGGGGCGACTTGACAAGTCTGATATTCCTTACTCGACAAGTCTGCCAGGCTGGAGAAAACCATAATTTTTAGGGTTTGCACCCTATTTAATCAACATTTAGCGCCCCATACCAGCCTCCATCACCCCTCAAAGACTAAATCCCAAAACCCTAGCCCCTATAAGTGATTGTGAGTGATTCTTACCATTTAAAGTGATTTTTGGTGCATTTTAAATTAAGAGGAGGAAGGAGAAGATAGAAGACTCAAAGAAGAAGAAGTAGATCCAGAACCTACTCCTCTTTTGGTATTCTTTCTGGTAATCAAGCTCTCATTTTGATTCTTTTACTCCTAGATCTATTTTGTCCCCAATTATGAAGGTTTTGGCCTAAAAACCTTAAATTACTAGATTGTATGACATCTTGATGCTTCATATCTTAGATCTAGACATTTTTGGACTTCAGGAGCCCCAAGAGATTACCTTTAGGCAGCCATAGTTTCATATTGAGCAAATACCTCCATTATTAGCTTTGTTATGGTGTTATAGCTTCATTACTTTATGCATGCACGTAAAGTAAGCAACTTTACGTTTAAAATCAGCCTCAGGAGTCCAGATCCAAGAGTTGGAGGCATTAGAATGGTTTAAGATGGTCTGAATGGTTATGTCACGAAGAAGACTCGGCGATTCGTTCATGGACTCATCGATTCGGGTCGCGCACCTTAGTGCCCTAATAAGTGAGTTGTGAGTTGAATCAGTGAGTAAAGGAGGTAGCTCAGTGGGTTGGCCAGGAGTAGGAATCGGAGGTTTAGGAACTCGACGAGTCATGGCAATGACTCGGTGAGTCGAGTCGTGAGAAGTAAGGATTTCAAGTTATAGGACTCGGCGAGTCAATGTACTGACTCGGTGAGTAGAGTTGACCTGGAACTTTGACCTTAACCAGGGGGTACATTGGTCATTTACCCCATGAGGAGTTATCAGTTTTTGACTAAGTGTCTTTATGGAAATTATAGCTGGAGAGTCACCGGAGCTGCAGGCGGAGATTTCTCACCGAGAGTTACAGCAGTCAGACACACGAGGTGAGTTTCTTTCCAGTATGAATGGGTCTACAGCCACAATGCCGGCCCATTTAGATGATAGTAGTTCCAGACTATGGTCTGATGCCGGGGTGGTCCCGAGAAGTAGTTATGTATGCTTGAGGTCTTTATGATTCATGCATGTTTTTGTTATGTGTAACATGTTCCGGACTCCGGTCCGATGCCGGGTAAGCCCGATGCAGTATTTGTGATTATGATATATGTTTATGCTATGTTCAGTCTATTCCGGACTACGGTCCGATGCAGTAGGCGGGGCCCAAGTTATTCCGGATCTCGGTCCGATGCTGGGCGGGGCCCGATGCAGTGGGCAGGGCCCAAGCTATTCCAGATTTCGGTCCGCTTTCAGGCAGGGCCCGATGTAGTGGGCGGGGCCCAAGTTATACCGGACTTCGGTTTGATGTCGGGTAGGGCCTGATGCAGTTAGCAAGGCCTAGTATGTGATTTATGTGTTAGTATTGGTATGCGGTAGTTTTAAGGGGGGGGGGGGAAGCTCACTAAGCTTCATGCTTACAGTTTCAATTTTGGTTTCAAGGTACTTCAGCTAGCAAAGGGAA